ATATATATATATATAATTTTGGAAGTATTACAGTTAACATACGACTACGACATACTTTTTTCCCATTTCTTATAATTTCTTTTTCTTTTTCTTTTAAAATTTCTACCTTTTATGTTTTCTTTTAACTTTTATATAAACTATCTTAATTTTAAACTATTTCACTATATTAAGATTAATGGATTTTTAATTTTTTTACGTTTTCTAAATTATTTATACAATCATATAGTTTTTATATATTTTTTACTTTGAGATATTTTTTAATAATTTAATTAATGAATTAAAAATAATGTTTTAATATTTTTTACTCCTTAAAATTTGTCATTTTTATTCAATTTTATATAAATATATTTTTTAGTTTGAAATTTATAGATGATTTTATTATTAAAGTTATATATATAAAATTTTAATATTAAAAGTATATATGTATATATTGTGTAAGAAAATATGAAAATATTTTATATCTCAAAATATATTTAAAAAAAACAAATTTATATATATAATTTTTGATAAAAAAATTATCTAAAAATCTTAAAACAAAAAATATTTTTTTATAAAGTTGAAAAAAACTTAGCAAATTTTAAGGAGTAAAAACAAAATCAAAAGATTATTTTTATGTCACTAATTAAATTATTAATAAATATATCAAAATAAAGAATATATAAAAAAATATTTGTATAAAAATTTAAGAGAACATAATATTTTTTTAAAATTTAATTAACCATAATATGAAAAATAGTTTAAAATTAAGATAAGTTTATATAAAAATTTAAAAAGAAAACATAAAAAGTAAAATCTTTAAATATAAAAGAAATAACAAAGAATAAAAAAAGAAAAGGAAGTCCCATACTAAACGTGAGACTTCCATAAGTTAATAGAAAATACATATATATATAATTATAAACGTGTTAGTAGAGAAAAATCGAACATCGACTGTCATAAAATTAAAAGTCGAACGTACAGAACTCAATTTCATATATTTAATAATTAAAAGTCGTATTTATAGAACACGATTTCATATTTTTTAATAATTAAAAGACGTATGCATAGAACACGATTTCATATTTTTAATAATTTGAAGTCGTCAAAGACGATTTTATTAATTTTTTAAAAATATGTCTATATCAGTAAATTTAATGGAAAACTAGACTACTTTTGTACGATTGATGCATTAAACACTCCCAAAGCTTGATAATTTAAAAATGATGCAAAGAGAAATATGCAATTAGCTTAAAAAAATAGTAAAAACAATTTGATCTTTGAATTTTAAATGAAATTAGTTTAATATTAAATATCTTCCACAGCCAGCACGTGACAAGAATTTGAATATTTTTATTCACGTTGACAACTCGTGTAACAATTTTATATGTGGCACATTATTCTGTATAGTATGTCAAGTGATACTCTTTACTATTATTTGTTTTTTTGTTTAAAATATATTTAGATTATAACTTCATGTATTTTTATCTGTATTTTCATATTTCTCTTTTACAACTTTCTTTACTTTCGTTATAGTCGATTTTAACATTTAAAAGATTTATATTCAATTTTTCATATTTTAATAAAAATCAAGCAAAATATGTTTACTGAATCAATTTATTTAATTTGTTAAGAATTTTTCAGTGTCACAATTATACACAAGAAAAAATGTCGTTCAATGAATATCATTTAATTAAAAGTTTAAAACTTATACTATGTCAATAAAAACAAAGAATTAGGAGCATGTTTAATAAGATATACTTATTGTTTTCAGTTCATAAAAAAAAATCAACTCGATATATTTCCTAAAATTGTTTTAAAAAATGTGTAGAACTTCCAACCAACTTAACCTTTAGAACAAAATCATTATTTATTTCTTGAAGTAATATACATTATCATGTATAATAATTAAGTATAAATAAAAGATATGAAATTATGACTTTTCTAAAGTTTATTAAAATTTATTTAGTTTAAACAAAATTTAGAGTAAATTTCTCAGTAATAAATTAACATAGCGAGAACCAAAAATTACGAAACATCCCATTATTTCTATAACATATGTCTTAAGGCAGTAGTTTTTTATTTATTTATTTTTAATTTATTTTCATATTAAAAATATTATAACGGAGAACATTTATTAAAAATAAAAAAAATATACCCCCTTCGGTATCTCAATTCAAAAACATATCCTTTCAATCCTAAAACGTGTTTAATGGTACAAAATCATAAGAAAGAAAATCAATTTGGTTTGAATATAACTAAACCTTGTGCATGCTCTCGCCCACTTCACAAGTATAAGAGAATAAGACACCAAATGGACAATGGATTATTGTACTATTGAAAAGGAGAGAAGATGTTCCATTTCCTAATAATGGTACAAAATATCCATTACCCTACTACACCTTAGTCAAACTGATCACTACATCATGTGCCTAGGAAGCTACACCAAGAAAGCTACACATGCAAATCATCTCTTACAAAAACGAAGATTTAAAGTTAAACATTCGGCATAACTGAGATACACAGTTAAATTTCCAAGTTCAACTACATAGAAAGAGTACCTGACAGAGGATTTTTTGCTCTATCTCATCTAACAAGATATTATAGCAACATAAAATTAGTAAACTTCCCTCGACGCTGTTGTCTCTGTTCTATGAGTCACTTTCTCCTCCAGAAAATATTCCTAAATGGGTATCTTTGTACATACTATTGGTTTAATGTCTTGTGATAGGCAACCTGCAAGAACATTCAAATAAAAGTATTTATATGCACGTACAACTGGGAGATTAACTGATCCCCTTTACCCAGCCAGTTTCAACCATGCTGAAATAGTTCAGTATAGTTTAAAGATTATAGTGTATTTGGATAACACACAAGATCCAATTCTAATCCACAAATCATAGTGATAAAAAAGTATAAGTAACTAGCCTATTGTTTTATCTTCACCATGAAAATTTAATTGATTGTTCTCACCATAAAGTTATCCACTTTCTACCATTTTAAGTTTTTACATTGTGTACATATTCCCAATGCCAAAAGTTTTTCCCAATCATGATTAATTTATAACCTCGCATTAACAGACACAAGATTTTCAAATAGGGTTCTTACAGATGTTGAAGTCTTCAGCAGCTCCCTTATGGCCATTGTTGCATAACAGGAAGCAGGAAGCGTAAAGCTCAGTTTCAGAGCAATATGAGAATGTTGAGAGCTGGAATCACCAAGAGATTCGCCATGAGGTAATTTTACCTCCTCACCCGCAATCTCCTTAAAATTCTCATCCTTTGGAAAGTCATCAGAACTCTCTAACTCTCGTATGCAATCAAAGGCTTCATCAGTTTTCCCATTTCCTACGTCAAATGGTTTGACAGTATTCTTAGGTGCAGACTTATTAATTTTGTCTAAATCTGTCTCTACCAATTGTTTATTACTGTCGGAGTATTCAAGCAATTCCCTGGAATTGCAGACATCAAAGAAATGAATCAGAGTGAACTACACAAAAAAAAATGTGCTAAAAATACGAGTCTGTGCAATCTGGAGGGTTAACTAAGTAAAATACCATTCAAAGTTAATTGGCTTTTGAAAAACCCTCCGGTAACATCCAGTGATACTAGTTATTGAGAATTCCCTAAAAGAAGTATTAGATCAGGGTAAGAGAACTGGCAGGAGAGAAAAAGAATGAATGTATTAAGTTGAGATTTTTTACATACTCCACTTTGTGCACGCTTTCAGTTAAACTGATTCCATCCTGACCAAGTACGATAAAACAGGTGAATGTATTATAAGGGGGGATAACAAACAACCCATGGAAAAATAACAGTACAGAAGGTTACAAAAAAGCAAGGACAGCAACCCAAACAAAAATGTAAGAACTTGTTCTAAAAGTTCTAAAATTAAACACAGTTCTAAAAGTTTCAGAAAGAGGGAGTCGTCATGCTTAACTATATCTCCACTAAATTGTAGTTCCAAATCAATATCCATTGTCAACTACAGAGTATTAATAATAATCTTATTAACATAAATACAGCAGGCTTTACGGGATAGTGTTCTACAGCATAAACCTGATCAGCAACCTTGTGAGTTACCCCGTCATCAAATAAAGTCATTTTCTCAAGTACTGTCAAATGCATAGCAATTAATATAACCTTGAAGTATTTTTTACAAGTAAATAGATAGATCTACTCCTACATCTTCTTTACGATAATTCTTACGTGTAAGAGATAGGAAGAGTGGGATAAGGTGGGTAATTTCTTAGTGAGATAGTAAGAAAAAATTAATTACAAAATATTTGACCCAGCCTGAACTTCTGAGATCTCACTCCTAATTAAATGCGTAAAATTCAGGATATTGAAACTTGAAAGTACGAGGGTCAAAATTGATACTTAC